CATCCATCCATCCATCCATCCATCCATCCATCCATCCATCTATTCATCCATCCATCCATCCATCCATCCATCCATCCATCCATCCATCCATCTATCCATCTATCATGCTGCCCATGGAAATGAGAACCTGCACAAGCTAAGCATATGCTTATCACTAAGCTACCTCCCACCCCCTCCTCTCTTCTTTCTCACAGGTATCATCCACTGTCATCCTCATCACCATCAGCTCCTCTGGTCCCCTCACGGTTCATGGGTGGGATTCTCAAGGTGAAAGTTATCCTCCATTATTAGGCAGCCAGGACAGCTGGAAGATGGCTAGTAGTTTTCCAAACAGTGTTCATGGTGGCTTCTTGTCTCCCTGGGTAAGGAGGAGCTAGAAGCACCATTTAGTACCATTAGCTTATTAGTACCATTTAGTCTCTAATTCCTATGGTTATATATGAATCCCATGAGTTCCTGCCTGCTATTGCCTTAGATGACTTGGTGGCTGCTTGCTGTTTTGCAAATGCACCAAGCCCTGATGTTAATAATTTGTGAATGAGTTGGGCTGCCAGAGAAGCATGAGACTCTTAATTTTGACTTTGAATTTACGGTGATCCTCCTGCCTCAGCCTCCCAAATGCTAGGATTACCAGCATGCACTGCCACTCCTGACTGAAGCTCTAAATTTGAAACACCAAATGATCCAAGGGCAGCTTTGGCGCTGTGACACCTGTACATCACATTCCCATCTCTTGCGAGCTGGGCTGCTGAGCACTCTATAAGCTGTAGAATACTGGTGTCATAATTTACCGCAACAACTCCAGAGAAATCTAGAGAAATCTGCCTGTGCTGCAAGTTCTCAAGCTGGCTGGCCTCCAAAGGGGGACTCTTCCATGTCAAAGCACCATCCTAAATGATGGTGGAGGAGAGGAGTATGTTTCCCTGAGACACCCTCAGTGTCCCGTCCCTTCTCCCTCACACTTCGCAGGAACTGAGCCTGACTAGCAACTCTCACGACTCCCAGTGGCTCACCTTCAAGGCTTGAGACTCCCACCCACTTTCTGATTATTTGGGGATGTTGAAGGCACACTTGAGAATTTCAAGATACAGATGATGGCCTCATGAGGACAAGACTAGGACTTAACCACCTTTTTAGTTCTGTACACCTTAAACCTTGAGTCTTTGAATCACTAGGTGCTCAGTTTGTACAAGGTTGTTAGCAGCTACTCTAGACCTAAATGTGGGTTGTGGGTTGGGCTAGGTGAATTTGCTTCTGACCAGGCCAGGCCACTCGTAGGTCACCCAGGGTTATGAACCAAGGCTCTGGAGTCAGACTGCATGGGTTGGAATCCTTCTTCTGATACTCTGGCTTTGTAAATCAAGAAAACTGATCATCTTTCTGTACCTCAGTTTTTCAACTCTAAAATAACGGAATTCCTAGTATCTATTTGAAGAGGCAGACATATTTTGAGGGGTGTGGGTTGCTTAGTGTCAGCGCCATCTTTTCTGTAGCAGGTCCTCTCTGTCCATTGGGAATTATCCTCTCCCGTTTTCAGTCCAAGAGGTGTGGTCTCCCGGACAGAGCCACAGTGCAGGTCTGGCCCACTGTCGTCACAGTGTGCGGGTCTGAAGCTGACTATGTGATCCCAGTGGGTTGGGAGGCTCAGAAAACGACAGCCCAAAGTATGGTGCTGTGACATGCTGTACTACAGGAGCAACTTCAAGGTCTCTCTGAACATACCCTGCATCCCTGCCATCTACCTTTTCCCCAATTTCTCTTGATCCCTTCTCTCCTGAAGCATAGGAAGGAACTTTCCCAAGTTTCCTTATCACACACCAGATCAACCACAAAAATGCAAATATCTTCAGTCTTCTTACTAACATTTTATTAACTCAGCAAAAGTAAACTCACATCACAGAGGAGACTGAGAATCAAACACCATAGCAAGAGCCTAGAGGAACTTGGTACCCGTTTCCCAGGCTCATTTTCTCCCTTAAACGTTTTTTATGACCCCTCTACAATTGCCCAAGTACCCCCACTCCATTCTTTTCCATGAAGAAGTTATTTAAGCCTCACTTATCTGGTCCTGCTTTGCATTTTCGTATGTGATATGGCTCCTGTGTGCCTGTGTGTTTGTACGCTTTTTCTCAGTCTATCTATTGAATAGACTTAGAGGTGAACTTAAACAGGGGGACAGCTGAAACTTTCCTATACTTCTTGGCTTTCTCTGGAGCTATGAAGTCCGATGGCTTCCTTCTGTGGGCCTGCTAATGGATGCTCTGTGCCTCACGTTGAGAGACTGCCTGAGAGCTAGACCGACTCAGGAGAGAGGGCTCAGAGAGTGCCACATTTCCAACAGTGTCATTGGAACACTGCATCCAGCCACACAGCCCATTACTTACCACTGAAGTTTTCAGTTACCTGACTTGATAAATTCTTTTTTTAGGCTTGAGGTGGTTTGAGCTAACTTTCTCTCCCCTTAGTGAGGAAGGGATCTGACCACCACTTCATAAACCAACTATGAGGTCTAAAAGAGAGGAGGCAAGTGCTGTAGATGATGCGGGACCCTGTGCAAGACCCAAGGCAAGGCCTGCACAGGAGAAGTTCCTGATCACGTCAGCCCTGGCATCTCTGTGCTCTTGGAAGTACCGGAGAGCCAGTCCTCTCGAAGAGTTCCCTATATAGAGTGGAAACTTGATTTCATGCATTTTACTCCTTTCCAAGGCGGTAGGAGGTCCTCAGGCCTGATCCCAGGACTGGAGAGGACACACACTAAATTTGGCAGAGGGGTTCTGGGCCACCTTTCTTCTCAGCAGCCCCGTTCACACATCAGAGGCCTCTGTGGGCAGGAAGAAGACCCTTCATTCCTAGTAGGCTGTGGCCCTCCGGTTTTCAGGAAAGGTCTGAAAGGGGTGTAGGGTAAGACAGCAATCACCTGTGATGGGAAAGAGGTAGATGTGGGGGGAAGCCCGCTGGGCTGGGAGCCGCGAGACATGGGCTCCAGCCTGGGCTTAGCCCGCACCTTGTGGCCGCTCTGCACATCTGCCTGCTTTAGCCTCAGAAGCCGCATTCCAGCCACATCTGCAGCTTCTTGTGACTCCCTCAGCCCACTCACCCATGCTGACCTCAGGGCCTCTCTTCAGGCTCTTGAATATTTCCTGCTGAGAATGTTCCTCACTCTCACCCCGACTCCAGTAACCCTCACTAGAATCTTGGTCTTGGCCTTGGAAGTAAAGGTTAAGAGGAATGATTCTGAAAGTGAATATAGTCTTGGAGGTAAATCTCAACGCTGCTGTCCATGGGTCGTGTCACTGTGGGAAAGTTACTTCATTTTACTCGGCCTCAGTTTACTCCTCTGTGAAATGGAGACAACTGAGGCATATTCTCCACAGGGGGAAGGGTGGTATGATAATGTAATGGAAGCACTTGGCCCCAGGTGCAGTGCACGGTCTGTCCTTTTGGAAAGCCTTTCGGGTGGCCAGGACTGGGCTCTGAGCCCCCTACTGTATGCTTGGGTTCTTCTCGCAGGTGTCATCTATACTGCAGGTGCTTACCAACTACTTCCTCTCTAGACCAAGGCTCCCTGAGATTAGCACTTGTGGATCATTCACTGACTTCCCCCACCCTGAATTTAGCACACTTAGGAAAGGATATCTTTGTTTGTTTGTTTGTTTTCTCTGGTACCAGGAATTGAACTCATGATCTTGTGCTTGCCAGGCAGGCGCTGTGCCACTGAGCTAAATCCCCAGCCCCCAGGAAAGGATGAATAAGAGAAAAATCCTGAGCAAGTCACTACCCTTTCTAAACTGGTCTCCTTAGCTTATAAATGAAAGGTCTGGACAGAAAACTTTTTAACACATCTTCATATGTAAGATTTTATGGCTAAACTTTTTATTTATTTTTATTTTGGAGCTATGAAAAGGCCAAGCCCAGATCATGGTTCATACAAGGAATCACCTTTTGGCTCAACTGAAGAATTTTCTGATGTTTAACAACTGGTCAAAAGTGTGGTTGAGTTCCGTGGAAGGGAGTGAGGTCTCTGTTTGGAAGGCAATCAAGCAAAGGGAAATGGAGCCCTTCCCAGGGATGTTTGTTGTAGGAAGGATTCATGTCGTCTGTGAGCCGCATGGGTATAAACAGCACAATCTTACTTCAGGGACTTGGGGTGAGGAATACTGAGTATGATGAATGATAACCCCATGGGCTGCTTCCTGAGCATGCTCTGAGCAGCCTCCCGGTGCTAACTGATTCCAGGTGGCCTCCGGTAGCCGGGAATGGAGAGACACTAGGGACCACACGCATGCCAGGCATGTGACTCAGTGTGGGGCAAAGATCAGCGCATACATGGATCCCCGAAGAACTACAGCACGCAAAAGAAAGTGCTCTTCTAGCTATTTTTAGGTAAGCAGGGAAGTAGGAAAAGGTTTTCACACAATGTTTTGTACACAAGGCTACTGACCATCCTCCTGTTTTGTGCACTGAAATGCATTTATACCCACCCGCAAACATACCCTACACAACACTCACACTACACACAAACCATACATATATACAGCGTGTGCATGCACACGCACACACTATATAGCACATATACACAGCACCCCCCACCAACACCATACATCCACACACACACTCAAACATACATGCACCCCCAAGTCTTCTACTGCTTTCTGATTACTTTTGACCTTTGTGTATGGCTAAAATTGTAATATTCATCTCTTTCTTTGTGTCAAACACTAAGCATTGATCATTTCTGAAATTTTCATCATGATAATGAAACCCTCAGCAACAAGAGGCTATGTAAATGTTCCGCCGCAATGGCAGATAATGTAACTGCTGATGTCAAAAACCTTTCTCGCCACTCCCTCACTTGTAAATAAGTCACATCTTCGTTCATCTTTAATTTTGCCTTCACTTATTACAGAAACAACTGTATCAACAGCTGGTTATTAATGATATTTTTTCATTTGTCCCCTGACAGTCTTTCTTCATAGGCATAAATGTTAACGAGCTATAACTAGGTTATGTTTCTTTACCCACGTAAATGCTGAGTGATAAACCCTTCCCCACATTGCTATCTAGTTTTCTTCTTTACCTCTTTTAATAACTATACTTCATTGACTGGTTGTATTATAGCTTCCTTAAACATTTCCCCACTGTGGCCCTTGTAGGTGATATTTAAAATTTAGGTTAAAAATAACAGTGCAACAAAGATCTTAATGCACAGAACCTTTCTCTCATTTTGAATTATTCTTTAACATAAATTCCTACATGTGCAATTACAGGGAGAAAGGATACAAATATCATAAAAATGTAGCCTGTAAACACTTTATTTTTCCTGAATTGGCCTTTATGCAGTAAATGTTTGCTCCCCACTGAGATAGATGGTTGAATTGAGAGTTTGAGAGCTCTCCTTTTTTCCCTGAGATCCCATGATTCTAAAACAGGGATGCTAAAAGCCTACTAATTCTGAAGTCAAGAAACAGGCACCAGGGTACTGTGTGTTCATTTGTATTTCACATTGACTAATGGTAGTACTGGTGCTGGGGAGGGACACATAGGCAGTAAAGAAACCCTGGACAGGTTGCTGATGCTCACCCCACTACCCCAGTAGATAGCAGATAGACAGGAAATGCTATTTTTTCTCTTCCTCTTACACAATGAGTTGTCCCAACTTTAATTAAGAGCATATGCACTCAGATCTGCTTAAAATTGGTAGGATCCCCATCAGCAGACCCTCATACGGAACTGTTAGACCGGGACAGCAGGCAATAGACTGGGATCAAGAGGGGATAGTGGGAGTGGAAGGGGACACTGGTCCAGCTTTTACCCTGGCCAATGAGACACGCGCGTCTCCTGCCGTGTTCAATTGGGAACGGGAAAATGGTTTTGCTGATGTTTCCATTCTCTAACTCCCCAGAGAAGGTGGATAATAAATAAGTGACAGTAACAGATTGCACACTGTCACTGCGGGTACTTCTTTGCCCCCAGAGGACTGATTTTTAATAACAGCGCAGATGACATGTGGCGGGAGTTGTCGCTGACATGGGTGTTTTGTGGGGTTCAATAAATCACATCAGTCTGGAGCCTCTGGCTGGAATGGACCAGCTTGTTGGGTGCTGTTTGCTGACTGCTACCAGGCCCCGGGAAGGGTGCTGGGACTCTGAATCAGGAGACCGGATTGGGACTGACTAGTAGACCTGGGTTATCTGCTTTACCTCAGTTTACCCATTGCTACTTCAATGTGGGCCTCAGTTTCCCCATTTTTAAAAATGGTATCTGCCCAAGCTGACAGCATTGTTACAAAAGGTTATGGGAAGAAATAGCCCTGAAAAACCCCATTAAATATGGTGGTTAATGCTATAGTAATAATGGGCCAAAAATGGAAGAGATGGACAGGTTTGGGCAAAGTGTCTGGCGTCTCTGTTCTCATGACAATATCATTCAAGGTTTGATAGTCAATGGATCCATTCACAGTGTCTTTTACAAATAAAATACATGCAAGATGTAAAAGTACAGAAAGCAGGTCATCCATAGGGCTTAGGTTGGGTTTCTTCCTGCCCTAGCAAGCCATGAAGTGAGAACAGTAATTACAAATGGGTATTTACTACGTGCTTACAGTAGCCAATCCTATGCTAAGTCCATTACATACAGCATCTCATTTAATCCTTATAAGACTCTACGAGGCAATTACCATAATTATCTGATTTTATGGATGAAAAGACACACAATGAGGGAGGAATAGAGCTGTGCTAGGAAAGCAGGTGACTCCACAGCCCTGAGACTTTATACAGAGCAAATCTGCCTCACGTAGGCTGTCCTAACTCCACTGTAGGACGTGGCCAGACAGATGACAAGGGTGGGACAGGTGTACAGCTCTGTGTAAAGCAGGGCTGCTCAGCCACGACAGAATGCAGAGGCAAGGGCCTTGCGTGGCCAGGACTTTCAATTTTCTAACAGAATGTGGAAATAGGGATTTCCCTGAGTGAGGAGGGGAGGACCCTGCATTACTTAAATATTGGCAGCTTATTAAAACTTCTTTTTCTTTTGGTAAAACATACTCTGAGCCAACTCGGTGAGCTGCAACAGGAGCCTGTGATCTCTGGTGTGTGAGCTTTGTTTCCTCGCAGAGGATGACCACTCCGAGTCACTCCTGAGGCCAGGTGCCACACCTGCACACTGATCATCAAAATGAGGCCTTGTGCCACACTACCAGAGGGCAGGATGTAACTATGCATCCCTATCTTCAAAAGGGAAGCACTGCCCATCCCATTTTACACATAAAGAGATGGAGACTCAGAAGAGTTCTATGAGGTGCCCAAGGTTCCACAAGCGGGAATAGGCTGCACCCCTGGAGTGGGTGACTCACTCTTAGGGGTTCTCTCTGGACCTCTCTGAGCAAACAGAGTGCTGGGTGGGAGGTGTGGGCCTGGAGCAAAGGAGAGCGAGGAAGAGGAGTGCTCAGCACTCCTCCTGCTGTTACCCAGCATGGGGTAGCTTAGCACTGTCCCCAGTACTCACAGCACACGGAGAGACCGCAGCCCGTTGAAGGCATGGATAGGGATGCATCTCAGCCGGTTGTAGCTCAGGATCCTGTGGAAAGGGGGATAGGAGCCTGTTAGCTGGTCCTATTCTCACTACTCATGGTGCACTATTTACACTGGACCAGTCAGAGCAAAAAGCTTCAATTTCCCAGTCTTTTTCTTTTTTTTTTTTTTTTTTTTTGTTTTGAGACAGGGTCTCACTATGCAGTTCAGGCTGCCCTTGAGCTCACTTTGTAGCCCAGGCTGGTCTTGAACTCACAACGATCCTCCTGCCTCAGCCTCCAGATTGCTGAGATTACAGGCGTGTGGCTCTCCCAGTCTTAATATATTGACAAAAGCATTCTAACAATAAAGGCAGGAGAAACATCTCTCGAGCTGCAGGAAGCTCATGAGCTTCAGCTTCCCAGGTTCCCACTGTGTTCCATAGCAGTCTGGCTCTCTCACCAGCTTTCCACAACTTCTCCCTACCGTCAAATGGTGTGTGCTTATGACATGCAAAGCTAATGGAAAATAAATGGATCCGGGCAAATGTAATTGCGTACGGAAACCCTCCACTGGGAAAGAAAATGCACACATCCTGGAAGCTGTTTTACAGAGTCCTCTTCAGAAGTAATGAAGTTCCAGTTTCTACCAGTTTCTCTGTCTTCCTAGACAGTAAAGTTCCAGCCTATTTTATTTTCCTTTTGATGACAAAGGCTTACCCTTTGCCTGGGCAACCACAGCCCTGAGGGTCACTGCACTGAAACGGAGAACCTAAGACTGAGGGGATGGGGGAAAAGCTGGTCATAATGCCAGGCCCATGCGAACAGTAAATATGGACTCTCGCTGTACTCACAGAGTCGAGAGGTGAGACATGTTGCTGAAGGTGTAATTGGTCAGGACGCCGATGCTGTTGTTGCTCAGGTCACTGGAAAAGTAAAACAAAAGGGTCACAGTTGCAAAACTGCATCTGAAGGAGGCCATTCCAAAATACCATACATGAATTCCAACAATAAATTCATTCATCTGCCCATCTATGTATCCATCCGCTCATTCACCCAGTCATCCTCCTATCTGTCCACCTACTCTTTCACCCACTCACTCACTCACTCACCACCCATCCACTGATCCATCCATCAGTCCATCTACCTACCTGCACCTCCCCACCAACTTCATTCCTCCTAAGAGGGAATCTGATAAAATGGAATAAATAAATCTACAGCCTTTCCTTGGAGATAGGTACCCAGGGCCGTGGCAACATTAGCTCCACATTTGAATCACCTGGAGAGTTTTTTAAATCCTCTGATACCTGAGTTTTATGCCCAGATATTTTGATTTAAATGGACCAGCATGGGTTTTCGCATAAGTATTAAAAACTCCTCTTCTTTCTCCTCCTCCTGTGGAGAGCCGACATTTATAATCATTGCTATAGAGCAGTGGTTCCAAACTAGAGGAACTTTTGCTTTTCCAATGACATTAGGCAATGTCTGAAGATGGTTTTGGTTGTCACTACTGGTAGAAGTGCCACTGGCATCTAGTAGGGGTCAGGTATGCTGATAAACATTCCACAATATCCATGCCAGCTCCCCACATCCAAGAACTATCTGGCTTCAAATGTCTGTAATGTCCTCATCTAGACACTGGTTTGAAGATATCCAAGAATCTAGGCCAAACACAGGTGGCTTTTTCCTCCCTTTCATCAGTGTGCCTGCTTCTTTCCAAAGAGTGATGCTCTTTCATTCTGAAAGAGCTCTCACTTTCCTCTTGTGGCCTGGCCCCCTGCCCTCCTAAGCAGACACGGACATCTTTCAATTATCACCTGCTCTGAAAATTCTTCTGCCCTCTCCTGGGCCCCATTGTGGCAAGGCAGCAGGCCGCCTGGCTTCCTGAGCCCAGCCCATACTCAGCACCTCTGCTTCCCATTAGGGGTTTTTTAGGTCTTGGAAGTCTTAGAGGTAGTAGCAGCTACCACTCGAGCAACCCTTGGTTTGAAACATCTACTTGGATGTTTCATATGGAATTAAAGGAAGAGAAAGGAGAAATGCCTATTTTATGCTTTTGGCAAATCCAGGTACAGCTGTAGCTTGCAAGAAGCTGGAGACGGAAGGCTCGGGAGTTCAACTTGGACCCTGCAAGGTCAGAGGCCTCGCCCCTCCCCCAAGCCAAGCAGGAAGGTGGTTCGGGTGGCCCACGATGCCAGGCTCTGGGTACTCTGCACGGGTAGGTCTTGGCCATCTGTTCCTCCTAGTTGCCATTTCTCCACTCCACCCAGGGGAAAAAGTTAAGAAAGGCTGCCTCAGCCAGCAGCACTCTTCCCTATGACCCTCCATACCAGTTTCCTGAATTACCCCAGGAGTCAAAAATACACGTCCCACCCAACATCCGGGTCCTTACATAAGTGTCAGGTGTCGGAGCGCAGACAGCTCTCTGGGTACAGCTGTTAAGTGATTTCCTTCCAGGTACCTGAAAGAGGTGCAGAGGGACAACGCGTGGGAAAAAGGCTGCACAATTGGTCACCTTCTCAGTGAGCCTCCCTGACCCTATGGGCTAGCTTGGCTCCCTTTTTTACTCTCATAGCTTTTTATTCTCTTCAAAGCACATATTACATTTGTCACTGAATATTTATTTGGGTGATCATTCCACTAATGAAGTTGTCCTCCCTTGGACTTAATAAGTTTCATGATACAGGGCTCTTATCTAAAATTACTCGCTCTTAGATCCCCCCAAAGCTCTTTAAAGGGCTAATAGATAGTAGGTGTTTAACGCATATTTGCTTAATACATCAAATACTCAGTTTATGCTAAGCCATCACAGTATCCTTATATAGCAGAGATTTAATTTCTAGAAAGCAGTAGATCAGAGATGTTGAAAAACTTGCCCAAGGTCACATAGCAAGCAAGTGGCTGAGCTAGGACTTGAACCCAGGTCTCTCTACCTGTACTTTCATCATGATTTTGCACAGCTATTTGGCTCCTGCAGGGTGGTAGAAGAAGTGATCCAAGATTCATCTTAGAAACTTTAATCCAATGTTGAGCATCTCCAATGTGCATTTGGAAACTAAGAAAAGTAAGCTAGGCATGGTGCACACCTGTATTCCCAGCACTTGGGGGGCTGAGGCAGGCAGGAGGATTGCCACAAATTCGAGGCCAGCCTGGGCTACATAATGAGTTCAAGGCCAGGCAGCACTACAAAGAGAGATCTTGTCTCCAAAAAAAAAAAAGACACTGAGAAAAGAGGGGCTTCTTTCTGTTACCTGGAACACTGTGCTACAGTTCCCAGCAGGAGGGCCATATGGCTGAAGGGGACAGGCTTCAGAATGAAGACGTGCTCAATAAATGAGGACTCTCCTGGACAGACAAAGGCTTAGTCTGGACTCTAGGCCTTTGCACTGATTGCTCAGGAAGGGTGAGGCCGGAAACTCAAGTGTGGTTTAAGATCAGAGGAGGAGATTCCATTGAAATTATGTAATCATGAGTTACAAAGGCTGTTACTGCCTATGAAAATTATGACTGCCCTGCAGTGGGGACATAGGCCAGTTCGTTCACTCCTATTCTTGCTATGAAGCCCTTCTCCCAAGCTTCCTGTTGTGGGTGAATTTCTCTTCATTCAAAGCTCTTACCATGTTTACTCTCACATCGTCAATACCCAGTGATGCGCTTTATTCATGCAATGCCTGCCTTTAGCTCCAGGACCGACTCAGGATCTATCTTTTGCTATATCGCTCAGTGCTTCTCAGAGTTTAACATACACGCGAATCATCTGTAATCTTGCTAGAAAAGCAGACTCCGATCCGATAACTGGGGGCAAGTTGGAGAATCTGTACTTCTCAAAAGCTTCCTGGTAGTGGGCACTGCCGGTCCACAGACCGCACTGAGTAACAGGGTGTGAACACACTGCCCAGTGTCTTTTGTCCCTTTCCACAAAATGATTGAATGGGGGGAGAAGTGAGTTAAAACAGGATGTGGAAAGTGTGTCAATGACTGAGCCAGGTTCAGATTTATAATTAAGACTCTCTTCCTATGGTCAGCCCCCAGGGATTCCCATGGCACAGACTATCAGGTAGGACCTGATAAGCTCTTTGGTTGCCATAGGATATTGGATTAATGTCCCTTTGGTCCTTGATACTTTTGTGTGCCTATTATATGCCAAGAGCTATGCTGGATGCTGGGGAACCAGATTCCATATCTCTCTTCAGGAAGCTTTATCAGCTGGCCCAAAATTCAGCCATGCACATGTTTGGATGGTCCCCACAGGCAGAAGAGCTAAGAGAAATCCATTTGTTCCTGTATTCATTTATTCAGACACAAGTATTTATTGAATATCTATGATGTTCCAGGTACTGAATGTACTAGTAAATAAGGCAGCAGCAATGCCTGCTGCTTTTGCATGATTAAAGCTCTAATGGCAACTGGGCATGGTGGTACATGCCTGTAATCCAGTCTCCTTAGGAGGCTGAGGCAGGAGGATCACAAGTTTGAGGCCAGCCTGGGTAGCATAATGAGACCTTTTCTCAAAAAAACAAAACTCAAACTAAAACAAACACTAATGGAAGAGGGTAAAGAGAGGGGCATACACACAGATGTGAATTGCAAATTATAATCTGTGCTTTGGAGGGAAGTAGCAGAGTGCTGTGTTGGAGAATGCCCACGGGCTCAGTGTAAAAAGCAGCAGCTGAGACACAGGATGAGAAAGAACAGAGGTGGGAGAGAGGAAAGCCAGCCCATTATGGTTTGTGTCCAGGTGTCCCCTCAAAGCCTCATGCAGTCACGGGGTGGGCTTCTGGAGTTTGATTGATCCATGGTCCAATGTTGGGATTATGGATGTGAATGCTACACCCGCCCTGGGGTGGATAGTTTGTATACAATGTAAGGGAGGGAAAGAGGCTTCTTGCCACCACTGTTCCCTTTTGCTCTTGTTGCTTTTGCTGTCTTCCGCTGCCATGAACAGTTGCCCTCTGCTATGTGCCACCCTGCCACGGAGCCAGCTGAGTATAGACTGAAACCTCCACAAACTGTGAGCTAAATAAACCTTTCCTTCCTTAATTCTGGGTGTCAGGTATTTTGTCTCAGCAACGAGAGAAAAGTGACCAGGACACAGCCCATGGACAGCTTGTGGAGGGTCCCAAGTCTAAGCATCAAGGCAGGGAGAGAAGGTGCAGAGGCTGAAATCTCATGAGCCAGGGAGGACAGTGGGCACAAGGAAGACCATGCAGAGGTCTGGAGCTCATCTGTTCTGAAGCAGATGCAGAGGTCAAGGTTGACCAGGGCTTCCAGGTGTCCTCTGCCATGCCCCTCTGCCATGCCACCCTGCCTTGGAGCCAGCTGACTATGGACTGAAACATTTACAAACTGAGAGCTGAAATAAACCCTTCCTTCCTCCTTTAACTTATAGGTGTTGGGTATTGTGTCCAAGCAACGAGAAAATAACTACGATTTAGCACTTATGTCCCTCATTCTGCATGTTCTCTGGTTTCCAGTGGTTTGCTCTGACTACTTAGCAAACCCGAGGCCCCTAAGATAGAAACTAGAGTGAAATGCCCAGAGCTTGTGTCTCCTTGCTGGGATATTGCAGAAAGCACATGAGAAGCTCAGAGGAAGAGGGCCATGGGTTAGGCGTGCTATGTGCCTGAAGGCAAGTAACTTTAAAACATTTTTAAGTTATATTTTTCAGAGTAGTTTACTGAGGAATAGGAATAGTTTCTGAGGGACAGGAGAGGTTCCAAAAGTGTGTTGCCACCAAGTCCCTGTGTCAGGGGTAATTTATACAGCAAAGTCACAAATATGGGTATAATGTAGGTCAAACTATAGTCAACCAATAAAATTACAAGTACAGCTACTTAGCTAACATTGATCCAATGGGAAGCCGGGCATGCAGCAAGGGTGGATGGCTGACATCATTAACCTTGGCTTATCTGTGACTTCTAAAACAGGAACATTTTAGGAAGGGGTGGGCCCACGTGGTTCTGGTCACCCACCTGGGTGTCTGATGCCTATCTGGGCTTAATGGACTGGGTGACACTAATTACCGTTCTGCTTAAGGTTTATAACTTTATCTCACAGAAACATAGGACAAGGACAAGAACAGAACTCGAGCCAAACTCACCAGTGCTCTCTGAGGTTTAGTCCCAGTGCTTTGGGACAGACTCAGGTCTATTTCCTCATCTAATTCTCTGGAGCTGAGATGGAAGGTATTTTGCTAAGGCCCAGAGAAGTAAACAATAAGTGTGGGAACAGGATTTAAACTCATGTCTGTTGGATTCTGCAGCAAGAGTAGTCAACTCAATGCTGTTTCATCTTTGCACTTTGAACTCTTTATTGTCAGTTTAAATCATTATGTTTTTGAGATTATATACAGTTGTCCCATGGAGGGTTGGTTACAGGACCCCACTGCTACCAAAATTCAAGGACGTGTGAGTCCCTCATATAAAATGCCATCTTAATAGTGTATAATGTATGTATATCTTCCTGTATTCTTTTAAATCATCTCTAGGTGGTTTATAATACATAATTCAATGTAAATTCTATATAAACAGTTGGTTGACTGTATTGTTTAGGAAAAATAACAAAATATCTGTACCTGTTCATTACAGATGCAATTCCTTTCCCAAATATTTTCAATCTACAATGAGTCGAGTCTGAAGATGCAGAATCCATGGGTACAATAGGGGCCAACTATATTCTACTATAGAATTTATTTTTTCTCTGAACCCTGCTAGCCTATAAGTTCTATGAGGGCAGAGATGTTTGCCAGTTTTGGTGCTTGCTATATCCCCAGTACACAGTACAGTGTTCAGTTCATAAAAGGGGCTCAACTATTTTTTTTTTTTAAGTTTTTTTTTCGGTACTGGGGATCGAACTCATGACATTGCACTTGCCAGTCAGGCACTGTGCCGCTGAGCTACACCCCCAGCGCCTATTTTTTGAATAGGACTCTGGGTTCTAAAAAGAAAACCAAAAGCCCACAGTGGGCTCTAGGAATGTCCTGCGCCTGGCCCGGGTTACACTGTATGCCACACCATGCTCTGCAAGTGCAGGGATTTGCTGACAGTTGAGAAGAAGCATAAATGGCCACTGGGATTCAGGGATGCTGACAGCGTTCTTATCTGAGACAAGGAGTTGGGACCCTGGAGGATGGACAGCATGATGGCTGCATCTCGAGCCACTGGTGCCCACAGAGCCAGCTGTGGGCTGCAGCTGGGCTGTGATCTGCACTGTGCCAGTGTAATGTCTGTACCTGCTTAAAGCCCCCACTGCTTTGTTAGAGAATGGTCACCCAACTCCTGCCCAAGCCTGACAAAACCTCTGTGGTCAGTCCTCATAACAGTCAGGGTTCTTCAGAGAAACAAAACCAAACAGTGCGTGTGTGTGTGTGTGTGTGTGTGTGTGTGTGTGTGTACAGATTTCAGGAGACCATGGTTTTGGACTATGTTCCAGCGCTAGGCTCTAATAGACCAGACTAAAAAT